TCGCCAAGTTGCCCAGGCGGGTCTCGAACCCGTGGGCTCAGGCAATCCACTCACCTCAGCGTCCCAAAGGCACAGGATTACAGGCTGAGCCATCGAGCCCGGCTGTATGATGAGTTTTTTAAAACCAAACAGAGATTGACTGGTATTTTCAGTGAATAAGGAAATGGGTATATAAACATATGGTTAATTTTGCATCCATCCTCTCCCCATCTTGTCCCATAGTATGTATCTGAGTATGTTATTTAGTTTTAGTGTCATAGGTTCTTTGCCTGTCCCCTTTAGGAAAAGTGAACACGAGGCAAAACTTACATGCTAATGATTTATTATGGAGTGCAACACCATAGTCCATCAAGAGAAAGAGTTACAAGTCCAATCTTTCAATATGGTGGCAATCTCTTAAAAGGACTTGGAGAAGGCTGATAAACATAGCTACAGACTGTTGCAGCTTGTCTCAGGATTGTTATCAATATTCATCATGTCCATCTTTCATCACTGGTCGTATATAGGTCCCTTCCTCTAAGTCGGCACTTTGAGGGACTAAGTTGCACACAGTTTGTTTCACAGTCTTTCTGGATGCTTGCAGACAGGTTGTGTAGAACTATAGCATCTCAAAACTGTCAAGGAAGGAAACTGATCTGCCAACAGGTTCTTGTCTGATTTCTCTCACTGGTCAAAGTGTACCCTACTGGGTGTTACTTTCCTCACACCTCTGGGTTGTGTTACCTGGGTCTTGGCAGTCACTAGGAAGCCAGAACCCACACACCACAGTTCAGTGTTGAGTGAAAAAGTGATAGGAATGAGATTCAGGGCAGAAGTTCCTGTTGCAATGAGTGTAACAGGACCATTTCAGAACCTGGCAGTCACTTTGGAAAAGGCTGAAAGAGCCAGGAGTGTTAGGAGATGTGACAATGCCAGCAACAGTCAGGGATTTCCATTGATCAGGTTTCTGAGGGCCTGGGAAGCAGACAAGGCAGAGAAAATATGAGGGTGGGGGGGGTGGGTATATATCGGAGCAATGGCACGCATACTGAGTTTTCTCTACCTGGACAAATAAGGCAACTCTAGTCCTGAGTATTTTGCAGATGCATAGAGGAAAACTTGGAAGGTTACAGATCAAATTGGGGATGGTCATTCCCTCTAGGAGTAGAATTGACAGCTCAGAGGGTGTATGTTCAACTTTAAGAGATAATGGAAACCTGTTTTTCTAACTAGCTGTACCAATTTAGACTCCCATTGGCAATGTTCAAGAAATTGTATGGATTTGCAGCCTCACCAACACTTGATACTGTTAGGCTTCTTAGTTTTTGACAATTGAATGGGTGCACTTCATTGTATTTCATTGTAGTGTTGATTTGCATTTCTTTGATCACTAATGAGGTTGAACATCTCTTCCTATGTTTATTGGCCATATGTTTTTCTCCATCTGTGAAATGTCTATTCATGTCTTTTGCCCACTGCTGTACTGGATTGTTTGTGTTGCTCTTAATCATTTGCAGTCCTTTATATACTCATAATAGGAATCTTCTCCCACTTACGTGTATCGAAAATATTTTCTCCCAATGCACAGCTGTTCTTTTTTGCTCTTTATGGTGTCTTCATAAATACGAGTTCTTAATGTTAATAAAGTCAAACCTATCACTATTCTGTTCTAGAGTCAATGGTTTGTGTATATTATTTAAGACATTTTAATTCCAAAGCCTAAAAGTTCTTTGCCTATGTTTTTTGTCAAGAGCTCTAAAAATGTTTTTGATATTTAAATCCTTAATCCATCTGGAATAGATTATTATTCTTATTCATATCATATGAAGGAGGGTTCCAGTTTCATCTTTTCCAATATAAACAACCATTTTGCTAGCTTCAGTTAATGAAAAGTCCCTCTTCAGCTACTTAACAAATCACTTTTATAATATTCCACAGTTCTATGCATGCAGGGGTGTGTTTCTGGGTTGTTTATTCTATGTCATTGCTCAGTTAGTCTGTTCCTCCACCCATATCGCATTCTATTTCGATCTCAGTCTCTCTGTTTCTCTCTTTCCTTTAGGGCGATCTTGGGGAAGGGAGACAGCAATCACGTGAGCTCAGCTGTTTTGCAGAGAAAACGGGGCCATGCAGCTCTAGACTCTTGCCCTCGGAATTTCCCCTCTTGGCTATGAGCTCCTCTCAGAGAGATTTGAGGAAGGTAGTAAGACTACATGGAGTAATGAACTGCTTCTCATACTGTGAAGATACTACCTTGGGGTAAGGAGGACAGGAGTCTTATAAACGCAAATTTTTGTTTTGTTTAGAAACCTTTCTATGACTGGGACTGGCGTTTGAACGCCTCCAAGGTGTCAGGATGCCCAGGAACCCCGCAGAAGGGTTCCTAAGGAACGTGTGCTACCTTTGCTTTCAGGGATCCTGAAAAAATGTGTGGCGTTGACCACAAATCTGGCCTAAGAGAAGCCAAAACAGTTTGCTGTTGGGTCTCGCACCAACGAACCGGGTACCAGCAGCACGGGGCCCTCAAAGGCATTTTCACAATGTCCAAGTCTCCAGTGGGGTGACTGACCCTTCTGCGCCCGCATCGATCTACAGTTCTCCAACCTCCTACATTCTTCAAGCTCCCGTGTTTTCCTGACTATACTAGCCTTCCAGGGACAGCCAGAGGATCTGGGCCTGCGGCCTCGCGGCCCAGGTGGGGTGAAGGAGCGGCCGCTGCAGAC